AAGGGCTGGTCCCCAACCACCTGGGGCCTCTCTCGAAGATCAGCTGCGATCGACTTATCCGTATGGCGGAGGACAGGCTTAAACCGAGGCCGCCCTTTGCGTTACCATCCCAGGCATCAGAGTTGTGTAAGGAAGGCGCCCTAGGGGCTGCTGTCTTGTCATCTTCTGCCGAGGGCCCTCGTAAGCGTGTCCCGTGGGAACCCAGGGAGGTCAATATGCTGCGCCATGAGGTTGCCAGAGTGAAGGAATGGACCTTGAAGGCCCGGCGCTTGCTTGGTGGGGGCTCGGCGTCCAGCAGTGGTCGGCAAATGGGTATGTCTGAGGCGCAGGAGCTCCTGGCTGAAGGCCGCTCTCTCGATAGAGGCATTGATTCTGTCCATAAGGAGGTATAGAGGATGCCCGTTCAGAAGCCTTTTCTACTGTGGCCGGTGTTCTTAGGTGAGTGAGATACTGAGGATGGTAGCAAAAGCCGAGGCGTTCGGCGAGAAAGTCCGCGCTGCTAAGCCGGCTCCTAACGACAACCTTATGACGCTGCCGATGCTCAGGGACTTGGTCGTTGAGGGCCTTTCCTTACGCATTGTTCCGGAGCCTGAGATGAGGTAAGAATTGTCTCGCAGGAGCTTCGCTCCGCTAAGAAAATGTGTCAGATATCTCCTCCAACAACAAGAGTTGGTAAGGCTACTCGCTGAAAAGCTCAGGGAAGCGACTCAGGCCAATTGCCTCGAGTCATGCCAAATCGTCCTGTATGAAGACGAAGGCATGGACGTGGACTTGGGCCCTAAGATAGATCGGCTGCGAGAGCATGTCACGATTAGCGAGTGGGCCTCTCGGGCTCAGACCAAGCTCCATGGAAGGCGCTCCCAGCTGCCCCTCAGTACTGTGGAGCACCTGTTGGCTGACGATGATGCCACGGAAAAGCTCGACCCCAATCACTGTCTTGAGCTCAGGACGCTACTAGAGGCTAGGACGGCCGGTCGTGCGTGGCAGGAACAGGCCCAGAAGTACCTCCAAGCTGATACGGTATTGCAGCATGGAGAGGAACCTGGCGAGAAGGATCTTGCCGCCCGAGGCACTCTCGATCAGCTCACGGTGCTCCTCGAGGAGCATTCCGACCTACCACGTGTCTGTGTGCCCCACGCGGCTCAGCAGTTGGAGGCTCTGATAAGAAAAGGTCGACAGTGGCTGAGGAAGGTTCAGAGGCTGCTCATCCTTGAGAGCAACGCTGAAGTGTGCCCTACTGCTTCGGACGGTCGCCTGGTGGTGGAAGAGGCTCTCGACTCGGACGTCACCAAGGCTATTGATTTTTCTCAGCAGATAGCTGAGCTGAGTCGGGCGGT